CAATCAGTCTGTCTCCTGCTCAGTTTCTGGGGTATAGTTTACATTTTGAAAGTAATGTTGTTGTCTTGCAATACTTCTAATATATAAGCAGCAGTTTTCACAGCCACGCTGCAGATACCCCTCTGTGGCACTGCAAAGGAAAGAAAGAAGCAAGAAGAATTACAATTATGAAGGCAGAGCATAGATTTTGCATACAGATACAAAAAATTATGTATTACATAGTTAGTCACACAGCATGTAGGACATTTCCACATGTGGCAGTCAGCCTTGGGCTAAAGCTCATTCTTAGCCTAAAGGATAGGCAGGAAGGAGCCTATGATTGCATTCATAGCCCCCCGCTTAATGCTATACAGAATAATATGTCAAATCTTAACTGAGTTACTCTGAACACTCCTATCATAATAATATCCGAGTCGACTCAATGGATCTCAAAATGTGTTATGATAATGTTAGAGCACATTTGAAGGGATGAATATGTTCCTCTTTAACTTCAGCCTGAAACATTAGAGCAGGGCTTCAAAAAATGCCTTTGTCTGCCGGACGAATACCTCGCTGTGATAATGTGAAGAAAAAAAAGCCCTGTTTGCACAACTATTATTGTTTTCTCCACACAACTGCTCCTTTGTCAAACTAATGATTTCCTTCCCTTTGTCCACAAGTCCTGTGCAGGATTTGCATGCAGAAAGTTAGAAAGAGAAAAAGCTGCAGTGTTTCGATTTAGTCCTTTTTCACCGGATTACAGAAATTTGTTGCGAGTTTGTTCAGCAATGAACGCATTCCCAGAACCTCAGACAATATCTCCTGAAAACAGCTGTGTTGAGAGACTCTGATTTTCCATGTGCTTATGTGTCCTAGCGTGCTCCCCCACCCCCTCGCCTTTCTCTGCGAATGGTACAGTCCATTTAAAAAGGCGCTTGTCATCTCTCAATGCTCTGTGTCCTTTCAACAGTCAGCTGCGGGGAGCACATTTCACAGGGGCAGTGCTGGCGCTCTAATGCACACACAGACACACTCATGCTGTTACCGAACTCTCAGAGACACACACACAGGCATGCTTGCACACTGACACACTCTCACCACACACACACAGCCTCTGAAACGTACACTCCTTCCAGCAAACACACATTTCCCCTGAGCCGGACGCCTCTCTTTAAGGGAAAGGACTAACTGCTCTGAGGATTTAACTTGGCTTTCTCATAAAACAAAAAGGGAAAAGGAGCAATCAGAACAGGGGAAAAAAAGGAGGAATTTATTTGGGGACACCTTCCTTCCCAGGAAATGGTCAACTTGTCAGCATGACACCTTGTCTGGATTCCCCTCTCTTCCTCAGGCAAAAATCCTGAAAATGATGGATGACAACAAGCAGCTTGCCCAGCGCATCGATGGGGCCATTCAGTCAGCCAGCCAGGAGGTGACCAACCTGCGGTCAGAGCTGAGCGCCACCAGCCGCAGACTGGCCGAGCTGGGAGCGACGGACTCTTCTGCCAGCGTGCTTGAGACCCTGCAGCACAACCACAATGGTAAGAGAGCCACGCTGAGAGTGAAGTGACGGTGTCTTCTTGTTCTTTTTGCCGAGAAGCTGTGAACATGTGGAGAAGGATGAGTGTGCTCTCATTCAGCTGTGTGTGAGTGTAGTCTTGCAGTGTGCATCTTGAGTGTGCGGCTTATCATGGAGGACATCCAAGAGTGAAAAAAGCCTCCACTCATACCTCTGCTCATGGGAATAAGTGCATTTCAGAGTCAGCGAGAGAGCGGATGAATTGAACAAAAGAGGGGTTTATGTTGACTTGTGTCCACTTTCAGTTCTCCCTTAAAATCCCCTCTCATGTTGAATAATTAACCCCCTTAACCTTTAAGAGGAGAGGGGGGCGGGGGTAGTGCTGCACTTCAGTAAGGACAGAGTGGGTAAAGTTACAGCCTCTTTTTACTCTCAGGCACTCTGTGTGCTAGTTCAGTCGGCTCTCCCCTAACCGGGCAATGGATCTGCGTCTCTTGAGGAGGAAGGGAAAGGGGGCTGGTTTTAGGGTTGCCGTTGGTTACTGTTACTGAGAGCTGAATGGCTGCCCAGTGTATAGAGAAAGCTGCCTTCTGTTTGTGTGTGTGTGTGTGTTGCAGCTGCTTTATTTGCCCTTTTCCAAGTTTTATCTACTCAGTTTGACATATAGATAGGAAACAGATGGGAGTTTTTGTTTCTGTGCACATGCATAAGCATGGCTGACTGCATAAGCACGCGTGGCTAAATGTGTGCCCATGGGCTGCCATGTCCCTTTAACTTCTGGCACACGCACATTCTCACACTCTTGCTCTTTCCGTAGCAGTCAGCTGGTACAGTGAGCGGTCTGATAGGATGCGTGCCATCCGGGCTTTGGCAGCACTCTACTATGAAACCACATCTCTCGCAGACACTTGTGAAATCAAGCTCAGTAATAGACCTGCTGTACTGCACTCTTAGATTAAAACACTGTTGGTGAACTTTCCTTTAGCAAAGACAGTGAGTCATTTGGTCCTCAGTTGACCTCTGTGGTGCTTTTTAATAGGGGAAAATTTGAACACAGGCTGTCGTATACAGCTGGTCAGGAACTGTTTGGTCATGTGTCAGCTTTGTTTTCAGTGGACTGACACTGTAGCCTTTCTGTTTCTTTGTCAGTGTGTATGTGCCTTGCGTTATCCCTTTAACCCTGATGCATGCTCACATTCCTGCTGGTTTCCATAGCAGTGTGTGTACCAGCGTGAGAGACAACAAGCACTCCTCTGGGAGGGTTTGAGCACTGATGTCATTGTCCTTTGGTTGCTGCTTCTCAGCTCAGCTGAAATGATGACTGAGTGATGTGCACGAATCACGTTCATCTGTGTGAATATTCTTTAAACGTCCTAAAGACTGCAGAAAAACACTGTTGGTTTGCTCATTCTTACGACATTCCCAATGCTTCTGAAATGATACACCACGAGACGCTGAGCCCTATCTGTGGATCTTTTAGAAGATGTATTTTGTCAGACACAATTATCTGCAAATGCAGTGCTAAGTGGTTCTGAGTGCCCCCGATTTTCAACATCAAAAATGACATGCACACATGTCCTTTTGATACTGAAGATTATGGTTGCCAGTTCCTGCTTTTGTTTGCCCAGTGCATTTTCCCACTGTCATTGTGTTGCTGTCAATAAGTCTATTATTTTTTTTTTCACACCCACCTCTTGCTGTCTGTTCTCTCAACCCCCTTTTTCTCCTTGTAGCTGTTCTTTACAGGCTCAGGGTGTATAATAGAAACAGCTAGGGATAGGAGGATTAGGTAATTTATCACCAGTGGCTGTGTTGGGAAGGGAGGTGTGTGGTAAGGGTCGCCGGTTCATTGCACAGCCGGCAGAGTAAGAGTCCTGAGGGAAGCTGTGTTGGGGGTGCTATCTGGCACTTCAGATCCAGCAGCACTAACCTTGCTAGTAGGCTAGCTTACCTTAATTGCATTCCTGCTTCCTGGGGGGGCTTACATTTGCATGTTTCATTCTTCCTGGCAAGTGCAAAGTTATAAGGAATTGGATGTACTTGATCATCTTCTAGTAGTTTTCCTCAGAGAATTACAAGCTCACAACTGTTTAGAAAACACAGAAAAAGACCACAAGATTTGACCTCACTGTCTTCCTCAAATGATCTTCCCTAACATGTTATCTGTCCTCTGAGCTCACACTTATCCTCCTCGTGGTCCCCGACAGCACCACATTTAACTCCGGAGGATGTTAAGCATCCATGAAACTGACCCCAAAGCTTCTGCCTGTGTGTGGCATGAGTTGGCATCATTTTCTCTTTGTATATGGGAGAAAATGTCGCTATGGAAAGTTTGGGTGAGTGAAAAGCCCATTCATATTGTGCTCATATTGCCCTATTTCTGTACGTTGACCTTTGGATAGACGCATTTTTGAGATGTCTTTTATTTTACTTTTTTCATAGTGGTCAAGAGACTTTTTATTTTCCACATACACTTTTGTCAAGGTGCATACATGTGGAAAAAATCATTCCATCTTCTTACTCTAGTCTCTGTGCTACACATATAACCGCACACTGGATCCGTTGGGGTTACTTTGATTATATGTGGCACAATTAGCACAGGTAAAGTAATTACTCAAAGTGCTGGCACATTAAACTGGTTCTTATTCTTATTTACTTTCACTAGCAGAGTCTTTCATACATGGTGGGATATCACCAAGATCCCCAGAGTTTACTGACAGTTGCTGACACTAATAAAAGCGCATTGTGGATCAACATTGGATATTTATCGTCACTAATTATATCCCAACCATCGCTGGTTGGATGTTTTAGTTATGAATCATTCAAAGGTCAGTCATATTGTACTTAATGACTCATACAATCGGGGTAGTTGAGAGAGAGAGAGCCAAATATTCGTGAGCTTTTTTGCCAACACACAAAAGTCATGCTTTTCTATCTGAAACTCATCAAAAACCTTTACATCATGTCGCAATCATTTCAGTTAATCACAGATTTTATCCACTCGATAATTGAAAACACAAAAAAAATGTTTATCATTCAGGAAGGCTTATCCAGGATATCAAGAATGAGTAGAGGCTATTATATCATTTAGCATGGAGCATTTGCTGTCTCTGTACATCATGAACGCACAGACAAACTCTGCATGTTAAAAAGCTACTGAGAACTCTCGTGTTCTTTAAATCTGTTCATGAAAAAGCCTCCTTGGCCACTGACATTAAACAGGATTAATAATATCAAGAAGGTATTTGCTTAAAAAGCGGTTACTCCTTTGGAGATGGAAGAGAAGAGCGACCTTGATGTAACAAGACTACTCATTCCGTTAAAGCTATTAGCTAGTACTCGAATTGGAATGAAATAGGTGCCGGTGCTATATAACAGCAACTGCACAGGTATTGGTTTAACTTATGTTTAACCTTACAATAATTACACCTTAAAGCAAGCTGGGGGATATCTGCACTCTCAAGCTGATGTGTTCTTGGGATGCCGCCTGCATTCATCAGTACAACATTGTGTGCGATTGAGCTTTCCTGTACCAGCAATGTGGAAGGACCAGTTGGCAACTTCCAAATCTCACTGAGAGTAACAGAGAGTCCTATGTTTTACTTGCTGTGAAACAAAAATATATGCCCCATCTGTTCCTAACACTTCCCTGGTATCATCTTTCAGGCTTACTAAGGTAACGTGGCATTTCAGCAAAATTACTTTGGTCTGTGATTGCAATTTTTACACATGAGTGCAGATCTCTTTCTGCTCAGTGGGGCTCCCGCCATTCTGCGTGCAGCGTTACCAATCAGTTGTCAGTATTGGAGAGACACTGCTTCCACAGTAAATGCTTCATTACCATCAAGAAGAGCAGCTTGGACATTTGTATTCGTCTGGTGTACAGCGAGTACTTGTTCTTAAGCTAACACAAATGATGCCCTCATGTTTCCTGGTTTGCATATATATGTATATATACACACAGAACAGGCAGAAGATGTCTTCTGTTTTACAACTAGTTACTTTAACATATGTCCCAAGTGCTTAGTGTACTTATTTTAAATTAGTACCCTCAGAACTGGGTGTAATGATTCTAGTGATTTTCTTTTTAACGTTTTAGTAAAATTGAGAGATATATCAAAAATTAAGAATTGTAAGCAGAGCTGAAGGTTGCATTGAATGTTTGGTCACTGCCATTCCCGTCTCAAGCCCCACTGAAGAGAACTTTTCCACTGTTCTCTTATTTTGTTGTTAAGTTGAGATGCTGTCAAAATCTCTGCAGAGTCATTCAAGTGTAGAATGTCCTCACATAGATTACAGGTTTTTCCATGAATTTGATTTCCTGCTGTCTTTTGTCTTTGCAGGCAGTGTCTGGGAAAAGTTGACATTTTGCAACATGCCATTACCTTCGTACCCTTTCACACTCACTTTTATTGATTTGACGAAGAGCTATTGGTGTGAAGCTGCTGTCACTCAAATGAGCATTTGGTGTAGGGTCCCCGCTCCGTGACTGAAAAACAAAAAAACGAAATAAGCTATAGGAAAGCAATAGCATGGTAATACATGGGGATTAAAGTGGTGTTTGTCAGATTGGGCGTAGCTGTGCAGCGTGGGGAAATCACTTAGAAATAAGCGAGTGAAATAATAACGTGTGGATTCTTCTTTGAGTACAGACTGTGATCAGTGGACCTGTGGTGCTTCTCCCATTTTCACTGCTCTTTGTGGATTTAGCCAAATAAATTCAAGAGATGTTATGCAGGCTGATTTCCTACCATTCGATGTTATTAGGGTAGGGTCAAATGTAGAATTCAGTGAATTAATCCACTCAGCATCATCACCTTAAATTTAAATTGATGTCTGCTATCCTTGCTCTATCCGAGTAACACTACCCTAGATGTTTACAGTTGTGCACTGTGTGTCCAACACAGTTTACAACTGTAAACTCATGTAACCTCAGAATAACACAAAGTTAGTGTGCTTCATTTTATTTTGTAAGACATTTCACAAAAAATACTATATGTACAAGCACACAAAGAATAAACA